TGTGTGTGTGTGTGTGTGTGTGTGTGTGTGTGTGTGCGCGTGATTGTGTGTGTGTGTTTGTGAGTTTGAGTGTGTTTATTGTGAGTATTTGTGAGTGTTTGTGTGTGTGTGTGTTTGTGTGTGTGTGCGTGTGTGTGTGTCTCTTGGGGTGTCTATGTGTCTTTGTGTGTATATGTGTCTATGTGTGTGTAATATAATATGTGTCTTTGTGTCTACTTGTATACTTGTAAATGTGTGCATGTGTCCGTGTCAGTGCATGCATCTGCGTATGTGTATGAGAGTGTGTATATCTGGGTGCGTTTTAGTGTGGGTATGTGTGTATGGGTCTGTGTATGTGCGAAGAATGTGTGTATGTCTGTATGTGTGTGAGTGTATGTAGGTGCAGTACATGCGTGTATGTGTCTATGTCTGTGTATGTGTGTATGTGTGAGTGTATATCTGTATGTGTGTGTGTGTAAGTGTATGTATATGTGTATGAGTATATGTCTGTGAGTATGTATGTGTATGAGTATGTGTATATGTAAGTGTAAGTGTATGTGTATGTGTGTGTGTACGTGAATGTGTATGTGTATATGTTTGTCCATGTGCATATATAAGTGTATGTGTAAGTGAATGTATATATATCATGTGTATATGTATGCGCATGTGTATGTGTATATGTCATGTGCATGTACTCACCGATCCCAGAATCTTCTCCTTGACCTGTTGCACGGTCATCTTGAGTCTCCCCTCCATGTTCCTCATGTCGGTCTCCGTCTGCTCCTCGCTGATCCCCTCCTCGTCAAACTGGACAAAGGCTTGACCACCTAGCTCGGGCTCTGCCTCCCCAAACAGAGCCTCAAAGTCGTGGAGGGCAAGACGGGGCATCTTGAGGTACTGCTCGTAGTTCACAGGGGCTGACAGTACTCTGGCAGAGATAAACGTGTTTGGACATTATATAGATATGTAGATAACAGATAAAGGGAGGCGCGCGCGCGCGCCGAGAGAGAGAGAGAGAGAGAGAGAGAGAGAGAGAGAGAGAGAGATGCACGTGTCATTAGATCAGTGCCCCAGCTACTCACACAAAGAGTGTATCTGTCTGACCAGGGAACATACGTAGAGAGGTTCTGAGACTAGGG